TCCCAATTCAGGAAATTTTTCATATATAAGAAATCAAGTATAACCTATTTCAAAATAAGAAACAAGGTTTATTATTAGGTTCTTAGCATAAAACATCATTACATTTGGAATTCATTGTGAAAAACGTCATTGCGTTTCCTTTTTTACACTTTCAATCCTATTTACAACTTTCATTGTGGAAATCAAGAATCATCATTTTCTCAATAAAATATGTAAAATGATGAATATATCCTTATATTTAAATAATTAAAAAATAAAAGACAAGAAAAATAACAGACTAACTGTAATCATAATCCTTTTTTTTTAAAGTACAAACGAATTTCAAATAAATTATTAAAAAATTAGAAAAAAAAATCTCTCTCCCCCATTCCTCCAACCTTGATCCCCAAAACCCAAAATTTGAGAACCAATCAATGCCGGCTGCCACATCCACAAAAAAAATTCCCTCCAATTTTTAGCCCTCGTTTAGCTCCCATTCTTACTAAATTTTAAAGGTTGGAATAATATTTTTTTTGAAAAATATGTGGTTGAAAAAAAATGAATTTTTTTTATTTACGTGTAATATTATTTTATGAAAGATTGTGTGATTGAAAATAAGAGAGAAAAAAAGAATGAAAATAAGAATAGGAGCCAAACGGGGCTTAATTGGCTTGCAAGAAAAGCTAGAGCCAAAGAGAAAGATAGAAAAAGAAAACATAGCTCATCAGCAACAAACTTTAAGCCCCTGTTTGTTTTCCATTCTTTTTCCATTAAAAAAAAAATATGATCGTTATTCATTACATCAAGCCAACAAATTTGAATTTTTATCTCTTATGTGGAGTCCGTAACGATTATATTTTTCATTCCCGTTATTGCAAAAATGGAAAACAAACAGAGCCTAAATTTGATTTTTAAAATTGAATATGATTTTATGTAATTTCCACTTCTTCTCCCCTCTACAAGAAAAATGCCCACGCTAAGAAAAGCAACATAAGCTAACCCAAATCACCATTAAGCCCAGTTAGAAAATACCAACAATAACGGCCCATACCAACCAACGATCCAGTCCAAAATTGCACCATACAACGAGCCCAATAATCAACAATCCCTCTAATTAGAGCCTCAGCCCTCTTTGATTGTGCTAAAAACTAAAATTTGATAAAAATTAATAAAGGGCTTGTTTGGATTACATTTAAAAAAAAAAAAAAACATTTTTAAATAGTGATTTGATATTATTTCAACACCACATTTTTCAATAAAATAATATTACACGCAAGTTCAAAAAAATTCTTTATTTTTAACTATACATTTTTTATCAATACACTATTCAAAATTCATTCTAAGGAAAATAATGTGGGTCAAACAAGGACAAAAATTATTAACCTCATATTTTGACTTAAATTTTTATCAATTTTGCAGCTAAATCAAGCATGGACTAAATTTAATGAGTCGACCCAACCTAGTCTAATCCGCACAAACCCTAATAAATTGTGAACGCCGAAAACCGCTGATAGAACAATCTTTATTTAGAGCATATTCAGGAGACCTTTTAATGTAGGATACTCTCTATTTTAAAGAGTTCGATATTTAATCTTAGAGCATGTTCGAGAGAATGTTTTGTTTTTAAAGAACATCTTGATCATAATAAATATTGTCTATAAATTTAAAGAACATAATAATGAGGAAAAGCAATAAATATTTTTTAAACAATGTGAAAAAATTAAAATTTAAAGATACTCTTTGCAATGAATTATATGCTCTTTAAAATTTAAAGAGTTTCACAGATATGCTCTTAATTGTTAGCCACATTTAAAAGTTAATCCATGAATTAGTTAATTTTATGTACAATTTATTAGGTTGAGAATTGAGATCGATTTCTTCATTTGTTTGTATAAGAAGAAAAAATTATTTAAATGTTAGACCCAGTTTTACTTTTCTATCACGTACGACACGACGAAAAGAAGAAGATTATTTATTTGACCTAAACTTCCTCTAAGCTTTGGAGGGCATAAGATAGTAATATTTACCAACTTTCCTTCTTAATCACGCAAATAACTTTCCATCCTTTCTTGGAGTAAAAGGAATGACTTGATGCAGATGGACAAGATTTCTCCACCAATATTTCATTCCCTTTCAAATATTCTATGCCTTTAATTAATTTGGCATATGTTGAGGCTAATTTCATCGTCCATAGAGCAATTTTATTGGGGCTTCATTAAGAGAAGGAAAGCAAATAAAAATATGTAACATGTTAATGCAAAGCTTTTGATATCTAAAGAAAAGAAATGCGAGTAGCCTAATATTTGACAACTGTAGTCAATAAGTTTGAATTATCACGTAGATTATTTCTTTTAAATTGTATATTATTGCCGTCGTGTGAAAAATTATCGTCCTATTTTGTACTACTTTAAATCATATTTTAATTTAAGTCAACGTTAAACAATTAATTTTAATCACATATTTAATAGATTTCACAACTTTTCAATCACACATTTCAATTTTATTATTATTATTATTATTTTTTTATCAAAATCTACTAAGCCCATATTTGAGTCTCATTCTTTGAAAAAATACATTTTTAAACAGTGTTTTGATATCATTTTAATCACATAATCGTCAATAAATTAATATTACATGCAAATTTAAAATTTTTCCTTATTTTTTAACAATACATATTTCCCATCAATACACCATTCGAAAATTCATTCTTGTAAAAAGAATGGAGATCAAACAAGAGCTAAAAATTTAAAACCCTATTTGATTCTCATTTTTATCAAAATACATTTTTCTCTGTCTTATTTTTAATCATACATTTTTCATTAAAATAATATTACACATAAATAAAAAACTTTTCTTATTTTTCATCCATACATTCTCCATCAATCTATTATTCTAAAATTCATTTTTCTAACAAAATGGGTGTCAAACACCCTCTAATTTCAATTCTCACGAAACAAGGCTTATATATTTTAACACTATTTTCTTATAAGACGATGACTTTGATGAGAAATAGGATTTATTCTCCATTTATTGTTGTATTTCTCTATAGTTCCTTAAAGAACTCACTAGGAACATTAAAATATAAACATTTGAAAGAATAGCATGGGATATATTATATTATTGCCTAAAATTAGGGAGGGCAATGGGTAGAGTCGGGTGGCGATGCAAGCAAGTATTAAAAATTCTTGATTTATTACCCGTTTAATTAGTTATTAATTTTTATAATATTATTTATGTATTTGTTAAAATACGATAAAAGTAAAGTAAAATAAAAATATTCATGATGGTGAGAATGAAATTCCCTTCTCCATTTGGAATGGAATAACGTGATAAGAGTTTGGAGCAGTTTATTTTATCGTTGCCTACAACTGCTAGAATTAGAAATCATAATCTAATTTTAATAATTCTGAATTTTTTTCTTTCAAAATTACTCATTTTATTCATTATTTCGAGATTATATATAATCATCGTCTCTAAATTGGTTTTCAATAAAATTGTCCACGTTGTGCTAACATAAGCATTTTCAGAACATGTGATTTTTATATTGAAATAGGGGTGAATACGACTCAATTTGAATATTTTTAAATATATTTCAAATTAATCATAAACCGGTTCAAAATTTTTTTAACCGAGTCATATCATTTCATTTTCCAAATCAAATCAAACCATCTTTTGCAGTTGGATTTGATTTCACACCACAATTTTTATTTGCAACTTAAAAGTTTTGTATTTCTAAGAAACTAAAACATAAGCATTTATCTAAACTCTCAACACAAAGTTTAATACAACACTTCCAAATATAAATATTACAATATACATTATTGCTAATACAGGCTTAAAGCTATAAAAATAATGCAATGCTTAAAGCTAAAAAAAAAATACGAATTTCGATTATAACAGTTCACAAGTTCACTATAAAAAACAAAATTAACAAAATTCAATTATGTCGATGCTATTTAAGCCTTATTTTACTCAATAATAGTTCAAACCGTTTGATCATACAGAGGATGATAAATAAATATCGATGAAGTTAATGATTTATAATTTTTTTTCATAGTAAGTGGGATTTTTTTTTTCAATTATCTAAATTAGTTGGGTTCGACTTCAAACGATTTTTAAGTATCGAGATCTAAACCCTACTGTGCCTATGTTGAGATGACTAAAAAATTACTTTAAATGATGGAAATTATAAGTTCAATACTCATAAACATTTTAGGCACAAGGTTATTAAGGTTATTGACATCGCACACTTTTCTTTCAAAGCAATGCTTTCAAATTATTACCAAGACATTTCATGCCCAATCCCGTGAAACCAGTGCTTGTTTATTTAGATAATTATCAAATTTAAATATCAAAATATTAATAAATTCGTTTCTTTACCTAGTCATATTCGAGTCATTAGTGTTGCCTCTATTTATTTTTACCCGACAATCCTTCATTCCAATTCCATATGCTTCTATTTTGATAGAATCAACTAATGGCAATTCGAACGTTTTAAAGAAAAATCGAACCATTATCAAATCAATAATGCTATTCAAACAGGAATTGCAAACAAGTACTTTGACAGATGCTGAACTGTTAGCACTTGTGCGAGTAACCATTTTTTATTATTTTCAGACAATTCAACGATGCTGTGTCACGCTTGTCCCCCATTTTTTAACATTATCATTGAATCTGTTTGTGTGGCATGATTATTATCAATTGTTAGCTAGAACAATATATTTTTTAACATCTTATTTGCTAGAGGCAAGTTGTTTCCATCAAAGAAGAATTGACGTGACATTCATAATAAAAACAAGGGGCATAAAAAATAATTAATAATCCGTTTGGCATTCTTTCTCTTTTGTTATAGCCGAGTTCTAAAAGCTCTTCTAATCCAACAAGTGCTTTCAAAACTTTCAAATATATTAAAAATAACTTTTAATTTTTCAAAAACCTATCAAACAAACCTTGGAAAAACAAAGAAGTGCTTTGACACATTATCCTTGGAATATTGAAAAAAAGAAATAAAATAGTTTCGCTTTGGCGTCCCCACCGCGATTCCATTCGGACCTTATCGCCACGCTTTTCGTAATTCCTCACCTTTCGATCGCAATCTCTTTCTTCACCCACTCACCCACACACATGCACGCATTTATTATTTTCAGTAAAAAATTGAATAAGAATTTGATCATTATAAATTTTTTCCCACTCTGTAACTCATCACAAAATGGGCACTGGCGCATCGAGAAATCCCGATAGCAGCTCCCATGGCAGCGAAGAGAGAGACCAAGCCGGCGGTCAACTCTATGTTTCTCTCAGAATGGAAAATTATAAGCTCAATGGTGATATCATACCCCATGTTTACGGCTCGGTACCACTCGTCGGCTCCTGGGACCCCTCTAAAGCCGTAAGTTTGTTTCATATTTCCCAATTTTTTTTTCTAGTTTTAGTACTTCAATTTATTGGAAAAGTTAGAGTACAGTTGATTTTTTCAGTTTCATATAAGATTGTGCATTTTTGCTAATAGATGTTTCTGGGGTTAAAATTAAGAACACTTTGCTGGCCTAATTTATTTTATTACAAGTCAATCACTCAAATTTTCTTTGTGTTTCTTACTTTGTCTTTTCAAGGTAAAATTAACAGAATTGCTGACTTATATACGATATTCTAAAAGAATTGTTCTATGTAAATGCATTAGTCTTTCGAAAGAATTAAGCATTTCTGCCAATTTGGATGAGGAAACTTATACATCATTGGGATTTATAAGTTACATAAGTCAGCAGTTCCACCAGTAGACGGAGTGCCTGACCTGAAACAAAAATGAAAGAACAAGAATGAAAGTTAATTGATTAATTCGAAACAAAAATGAATTCATTGACTATTGTGTTTCAACCAATTTTTCACACATCCTATGCTGCTGAATCTTGTGTTTTTGTAGTTATTTTTGGTTGGAATTTTGGGAGATTTTCGTTCTTTTAGTTGCTAATATATTTTCATAAACTATCAGCTTTCGTTGGAACGTGAATACACATCTATGTGGATATTAAGTTTTGTGGTCCCTCCTAACCATGGTAATTATGCCCACTGTGTAAGCCAAGAATTTTTCTCCATTTTAGTATTCTTGTAAAATTGAAGATTTAATTATCTCTTGTTTTTTTACAGACACTTTGGATTTTAAGTTTCTGTTGAAGCCCAAATATTGTAGCTCTCCATGTATAGTTGAGGAGGGTCCGAACAGGCAATTGACAGCGGGTACATTACATGGGGATGGGAGGTCGGCTATGTTTAAATTGAGTGGTGATGAGGTTTTTGAGTACAGAGTATTTATTAACGTGGATAGAGTTTCGCCATTTGATCTTGCGGCAAGTTGGAGAGCATATCAAGAGAATCTTCAGCCTTCAACTGTTCGAGGAATCCCAGATATTAGTATAAATTCAGCTGCTGAAGCTGGTCCTGAGGTGGGTATTAAGCTTATTATGTACATGAGAATTATTCTCTAATTGTCGGGTTATGTTTCTTTAGTATCGGACATTTGAATCCTTTTGACTCAATAGGATATTGCATGCATTTGGCCTCTGTATATTGTTTGTGGGATTAAAGGGCCCCGAAGACATGACTTTCCTGAGAGGATTTGCATTTCCCCCCGCTCCAATTTATTATGATATATTTGGACACTTATGGAAAAAGTAATGCATATTGGTGCATTAAGCCTTTATAAAGAAGGGGTGTGGATGTCTTCTTCTAAGTTATTTGTTTTTGAAAAATCAATCTCACTTTGTGGCTAAATTTCTACATACAAGTTCTCTTGTCTTTGGCAAAAAAGCCTTGAAATATATCGAATGATAATTATTGTCGAAGGAGACAAATAGTATAACCTTTAGAGAGCAAGATACAACTTGGTGCTGACGAATGAAAATCATACATTTTTCTTGGATTAAAGACTGCGATCTTAATGGCTGTGTAACACTTGTAGAGTTTCTTGATGATATTTTAGAGTTTCTTGGGTCCCTCAATTCAATCTAACTTTTACTTTTCAAGAGTTCAAGGTGAAAAAGGATGGTTTTGGTGCTATGACTTAGGGAATGTGCACCATCTGACCAGACTTTTATAATTGTCAAGGAGTAATTGTACTCAAGTTTGGGTGGGACTTGGGGGTGACTAACACAGTTCACTAATTTATTTTCCTGAATTTTTCTGATTCGTGAGCATCCCAAATGCTAACTATTAAAATTCTTCCTTTATGTATAGCTTCTTATGATTTCTTCTGTACGATATCTATCAATATTGATGGTTTGATATATCAGTTGTATTTTGACAATTTCCAATACAGAATGGATCTTCAGCAAGTTTGGAGCTTGATCTTGAGCACTATGTTGTCCCTGCTCCAGCTATGGCTGCAAACTCAGCTCTGGTGTATGCAGCTAACATGACAGAAACACCTACGTCACTGAGTCGTTTTGGGGTATTTTCCTGAACTGATTGCTCTAGTGGTGGGTTACTACATTAGATAATGGTGTTTCTAGCTGCAACATCAATGGTGTCGTTCTTGCCCCAATCTCTTATTTCTTATTCAGACTATATTCCACGCTTTGAGAATTGTCTTGTGTTCAAAATAATTGAGTTCGCAAAGCTAGTGGTAAAATACTGATATTGAGGGAGAATTAAATTCACTATATAAATTAGTTTTCTACTGGAGATGGAGATAATTATCTGAACCTAAATGTTTTTATTCCTGTTCCCCATCAAGAGGAAGGGTGGACTTACCGATTGATGATTAGCAATTTTTTTACCTGAAATTGCTGTTTTGTTAAATTGAGATTTTTCCCTACGGACCTGGACCTACTAAATTAAGTCAAATGAGTATTCCTCTGTCAAAGCACTGGTACGTAATCACGTTGATATCTGTTGGTTAATCTGAAATGGAAGGAAGCACGTCTGTTCATCAATAATACTTACAGCTTGTTTGGGAGAGATTAAAAAATCTAATTTTAATCTAAGTCAAAGTCAAACAATCAATATTAACTACATCTTTCATCGGTCCCACAACTTTTCAACCATATATTTCAAAAACTTCTATCACAATTAACTAAAAATTCTAATTTTAATCTCTACCAAACACCCTCTGATATGATCCGGGTTAGGCCAAAGTCGGCCGCATAGTATGCTTCGGGACCAAAGTTGCAATTTTTCGCAAGAATCATTTTTTGACTCAATTTCTTATTTTTGTCAAGTTTATTATTTTGGGACTCTTAAATCCTATTTTGACTCAATTTCTTATTTTTGGCAAGTTTATTATTTTAGGACTCTTAAATTAGGTTTTTTTTTTTTTTTTTCCATATTTCTAGACTTTAGCATAAATAGAAAATTTATTTCATTATTGTATTCGAAGACTTTGAGAATTAATTCTAGAGGCTTTTCGCTTCCAATATTTGTTCTTGTGTGGAACAACCGAACTGATCAAGATTTCGCGATCTTTTGGCATTCAAAACTTGGGTAAGATTCATTTCATTGTGTAATCAAAAGGTCCTTCTTGTCTTTGTTACTTTGGGGTTGTTTGATTCATTAATTGGTTGGATTAAATCCAAATCCGGATTAAATTTATGAGTTTTGTGATCAAAAGATCAATAGTTTAATATACTATTGGTTGTTTGGTCTGCAAATTTGTGAATTGAGTCCTAAACTTTGATTTTTGGCTTTCTTAGGGTTTGTGTAATTTTTCGTGGGTTTAAAAGCGGTCTAGCCATCCTGGTTCACATCACCCTCCTAATAAAATTTTCATGCAACGTGCTGATTAACAGGGCTGATGTTATGAGTGGACTTTGCTACGGTCTTTTAATTGCACTTCTATGAACCAGTTCTCTCAGGAATTAGCTTGCAACCTTTTGCGTGTTACTTCCATACTTTGCAGCCACATGTAGTACACTTCTATATGTCTAAAATGTGTAATTGTATTAGGGGATGGAAGTCATAGTCCCAGACCCAACTGCACCACCTTCAGGATCTGGCATGATTGAGTCGAAGTCAGTGGGAACTTTTTCATCAATGCAGAAACAAGAAGGTCACAGAGGAATCTTTGTGGATAGGGGAGTAGGATCTCCTAGGCTAGTAAAATCTGCAAGTGCTGCGTCATTCACGGCTGACCTCAAACTTTATTCAGAAGCCAAGGTATGTAGGAACTGAAAGAAGACTGAGTGTAAAATATAAGATTTTTGGCCCTAGAAATGCATACTTCTAATTCATTACCCACTGTAAATTGTTAGAACTCTATGCCCGCCGCTGCAGGAGCTGTTGCAGCTGCAGCTGTAGCAGATCAGATGCTTGGGCCAAAGGAGGATAGACATCTAGCAATTGTGCTGGTACACTCTTAGTTTCTTTTTTTCTGACTTTTGATCATACATTTCATAATCTGTTTCTTTCATTCAAGCTTTGAAATACTGTATACTACATATTCACTAAAATTCTTGCAGGAAGATACTTTTGTCATCCATACTGGGCTTTGAATTTTCATTGGTTGTAAATTTATACCTCAGAAGTATGTTATTCTAATCTCCACAGGTTGGATTGCCTGCTCGTGGTAAAACTTTTACTGCAGCTAAACTTACTAGATATCTACGTTGGTTAGGGCATGAGACCAAACACTTCAATGTTGGGAAGGTGAATACCTTTTTTAACTTTTATTGCTCATTAATTTTATAGACTTATGGAAACAGGAGAAGCTGAATAATTGGTATATTTTTGTTCACAGTATCGAAGACTAAAGCATGGAATTAATCAGGTTTGTCAATTGGTCAGATATCACCTTTTTCCTCACGTTTCTGTATATTCTTTCATATATCAGAAATAGCTTTAGAATTTCTACATTCTAGAGCAGTTGAATTCACATATCTTAGAAACATCTTGGGACTATACGTTCAGGTCTTTTAACAAATTGAGACGTCCTTAATTCCCTCAGACGTGATTAAATTCTCTCTATTTCTCGTTCTCATGACAATTGGTCATCAAAACTCAAAATTTCTCTGCACAATGCTCGATATTTGGGGTTAAATGAATAAGATCTTTTATTCTTGCTCCTCGTACTACTAAAGGCACGACCGCACGAATGCCAATCAGACACGTGGTCCACATTTTATTCAAATCTGGTCAGTTAAGGAAAATTCACCACCCATATGCATGTAATATATGTTTTCATTGCAATAAAATGGTATTTCTCTTCGTATTTTTAAAATAAGAACAAAAACACTGTACTGGCCGTAAAACAATCACGAAACTGAAGATGCTATCATCTGAGAACCGGTAGGAATACCAACAGTGGTATACGGGCAAGTGTTGATTCTGTTTTCCATCTCATGACTCATATTTCAGATTTTAACCCTTTGAACGATATGAGATCTAACATTTACAGAGAGAAAAGGTAAATGAAAGAAGATAGTATGCCCACTTTTTTAACTATGATCAACATATGAGCTGTCCATCTTCAATTGTTGGGAAGAGTAACAAAACCCCATTGCTTGCTGCCTTTAGGAGAGTCCCATTGCTTTTTAGGTTTTTCCATAACCTTCTCCACCTCAATTGTTTAGATTTTTTATCGAGATAGCCCAGAATGGATTGATCTATGGCCACCCAACATACCAGGTCTGATGTTGGAGCCAAAATAACTTCTTTGGGCTAGTGGCCAACAATGATTAATAGATATTTCTTCGAAATTCACTTTCTGAAATTAATAAATGGTTTTATAGATTGCTCATGGTCCACGTGGATTAAAAGCTCCAATATTCTTAATGCCATAACAAGTATACAATGTTGGAAACTTTTACCGGCCAGTTTCACAATTCATACACATAGCATCAAATTATTTCCTGGAAATATACTTGCAAGAATATTTCAACTGCCCCTTTGAAATGTTCAGCATCATAATACTCCTTCAAAATGTTTAGTTATGACATGAGTGTAATAACTGATAAAACAGTCTGGAATATGAGCTCCATGACAGCTAAATTCAATAATATGCTCAAAGGATTTGAAAGGGTTGTACTAATTAGATTTGTCAAACTGTGGTGGCCATTTGATTTAGCATTCTTTACGAACTTAAATTTTCTTGGTGGCTGAAGCTATTTTTCTAGATACCCCTTTCATCTTCTTACAAAATATCTTGATGCAGACTGCAGATTTTTTCCGAGGTGACAATCCAGAAGGCTTGGAAGCACGCAATGAGGTAATTGTTTACCAGGAAAACCATTTTAAATCATGAGAATATTTTAGTAAGCTGTATAAGTTTTATCAGCTGAAATCACCACCAAATTAGCATGGATTCAAAGTAATTTCTCTTGTAACTATACTTCTTCCTCGATATCATATAATAAGGGTTATACTGTGATAGGCACTTGCCATTCTAGAAGTGGAGATATTAATGATATCTTTGTCTTGTCATTTTCGCTATGCCTCCATTTTGGTATTCTAATAAGATTTTCAATTCAAAAGTCAATTGCTTTTATTGGACATTTCCTTATACCCTTAGCAAAGACTTAATGTTTCAAGACTGTTTGCACCCCTTTCTCTCTCATTCTGCATAATTTAGTATAGAAAAATTGGGAAAAGAAAATTTGAGGATTACAACCATGACAGTACCCCAAAAGTGTTGTTTGTGATATTATTCTCTGTTTATAATAGGGAAATTAGAGCTTTTGGCATCTATGGTATGCTACATGCTCAAATTTGATTAATGAAAAGCTGTATGCATGCTGTTTGCTTGTGTAGTGTAAGCATGATATATTTGTGAGAGACTTCTGTGGCTATACATGCATGGCTTTTCCTAACTAATTTCATGCCATTCAGTTGCCACCCTTGGAAATATGAAATGTGGCTAATTTTGCAAACTCAAGATTTGCCTGATCATTATCTTCTCATTGGTGAAATGGCATGAGTCAAAAGTCTCTCGTATGTATGACCTTCTGCTCTATGCGTCTATCACATTCAGATCTTCCCTTGATTTTTTTCTCCTGTTCACAGTTTCTTTGGAAATAATATTTGTAAACACTGTGTAAATCTCCTCTTTTAGTTTTTCTAGATGTTAGTATCTTTTGTATAGCTGTAAATTAGTTCTTCCCAATCTTGTAATCTCTAATCCTATAAATATGTAATTTTAATTCTTTTAAATTCTTCAGTCCTTTCCAAATGATGTGAATATGACACGGCTGATTTACAAGCTGTTTATAAATGTCAATTGAAGATATCTAGGCTTCTTACTCATGACTTCTTTTGCTGTACTTGCAAGTTTGTGGTTGCTGATAGCATTGGGCATTGCATTTTTCTCTTAAAACTTACCTGCTGAAAGAAATTTTTAAATTTTGAACTTCTTTTGCTGTTTTTTGTTGTTTCTTATTTTAAGTCATGCCCTGAATTGGCCTTTTTCCTTGCACATAGTTTTAATATGTCACCTGCAACTAGGTAGCAGCTCTTGCAATGGAAGATATGATATCTTGGATGCAAGAGGGTGGACAGGTAAGTTTTATTTTTAATTGTGATAATCTGCTACATATATTTTACCCTGTTCTAATATAAATTTTACGTGCATTTAGGTGGGAATATTTGATGCCACAAACAGTACAAGGAATAGGAGGAATATGCTTATGAAAATGGCTGAAGGAAAATGCAAGGTATGATGATTTTGCGGCTAGTTGATTATAATTCTGCGAGGAACTGTGCAGAGTAAGACTCAATTTGTGGCAAATCTTCCAATAAAATTTTCATAGATGTTATAATAGTTTGACATGCATAACATGAAAGATGATCGTAGAGAAGCCACTTGAGGTTTCTCCCTCTCCCGCCCTTCTTTTTTTTTTTTTTTTTGGGGGTATTGGGGCAGCGGTCTTGTGTGTTGGGTTAAGACTTCTGAAACAGAAGCTAGAGAAAGATTCCTACAATGCAGACTATAGGTTATGTGAATTTTCCTGGGTGTGGACCACAATGCCTTTGAGTACAAGTGCACACCACTCAACTCTGTAAGGCCTCTTTGTTTGTTTTCGACAGCAGTGCACAAGTTATATTTAATCTGTGATGGTGGTTTGCCTTGATATTCTTGCTTGGCATCTAATTTTTTATATGACATAAACCATAGCTGATTCTCGGTGCCTTTTAGAGTGAGAGCCTGTTAGTGTGATTACATGTTCTTTGCTTCAGATTATCTTTTTGGAGACAATATGCAATGATCAGCAAATAATTGAAAGAAATATACGCCTCAAAGTTCAGCAGAGCCCTGACTATGCGGAAGAGTATGACTAAACTCGTTTCATTGTAATGCTAACCCACTGTAATTTTACGTCGTGATTCATGATATTTTCAGGCCGGATTTTGAAGCTGGATATCATGACTTCAAACATCGACTTGAGAACTATGACAAAGTAGTTTCTTGAAACATACTATAGCTCAAGTTTTTATTATTATTTTTTTGATGGATGCTATGGGTAATAGTGTTTTATAGGTAGCATTTTCTGATTTCAGGTTTATGAACCCGTAGAAGAAGGCTCTTATATCAAAATGATTGATATGGTCAGTGGCCATGGTGGACAAATACAAGTAAAACCTCCTTTCCATCATGTCTAAATCTTATCAAATTAGTTTTGTTCAGTATATTTTCTATAAATTCAAATTTGAATATCTATTACATATATATGCAAGGTTGCTTCTCTTGCATGAATGGTTGCGTAAAATAATAGAAAAGAGACAACAATCTTGTATGCAAACAATCTCCAATAAATCCTTGGTGGTGCTAGAAATTTCCTTTTATGCTTAATTTATTGGCACATACAGCAGTTCCATACACATCGTATTAATTTGCCATTATATGATTTTGGATCTGCAGATGATTTCTATCTTTTTGATAAAACCAAATTTAATAATAAATTGAAACACGTGTGATTAGTGATATAGAGAGGTCCTACGATTTAGACAAAAATTGATTCTCCAATCAATGCTAGAGTTCATAAATCTTCTAAGGAAAAAACCTGAAGAAAAAACTCGAAACTGGGAGCAGTAGATTTGATTAATTCTTGTAATTTTCTTGGATTATCTGACTTTTTATTGAGCCACGTTAATTATATTCTTTATCATTCCCTCCTCCATAAAAGAAAATTGCCATTAGTTTGCTAGTGGTTGCCTGAATCTTCTTCTCCAAGATTGAATTAATAAGCTGGGAACATTGAATGTAAGATGTATTCTTCAAGTAAGGTGCCAAAGTCAATTTCGTCAAGATTAACCCATAAAGAGATGGGAAGAAGGAAATAGTTTGATAAAGAAAAAAAGAGGTGAAGGGAAGAAAGAGCAATGAAATAAAGAAGAAATTGAGGGTCTCTTTCTTGGTTTAATAAGTAAAGGGAATGTCGGTTATATTAGAGTATATTTCCATGTAGAGGTTAATAAAATCACCGAAAATCAGGGATTAATTCCATTGTATAGCTAATTATTTTCTTTCCTTATATAGCTTGTAATATTCTATAAATCAAATGTAATACACACGAGAAGATTCATTCTGCAAAATATTGTCATGGTATCAGAGACCTAAAATCCTCTTTCTCGTACTTGTGATCGTCCTCGTGTGTTCGACACCATCCAGGGGCGGACCCACATGGGGTTATGTGGGGTTAAATGACCCCCCAGTTTTTTTTTTTTTTTTTTTTTTTTTTGAAAACGGTTATCCATGAATATTTGGGAGTTCCAATTAATTCCTAGCCGGCTAGCCCAATGACTCCAATCCATTATCCATATCCATTAATCCATAGTCCATAGATGATAGACCTAAGACCATAATCCACTCTCCACTCCATTGTCTTCCCACCGATTTCTGATGAGAAAAATGTAGGAAAATTTGAAAACTTAATGAATTCTAAAGTACGAAAAACGTTATCTTTTAAGAGATGTTTCTTTCCTATCCAACGAAGTCACGATTGGGGTATGATAGAAAATCTCTCTTAGAATACAATGGAGGCGTTTGATTCAAATTGTGACTACTTGATCAAACCAAGAAGACACTCGAAAAAGAACTGATGATGCCAAGAGAAAGAGAGAAGAATATTTTTTAATGTATTTTGCAAACGAGAATTCGCCCAGAATTTATAGAAATTAAGGCAACCGTTTGAATAGGTGTATCCCTTAAAATGAAGAACACATATGTTGGAAGTAGCAGTCAAAACGAACAAATGCACCTATTCAAAGACTTTTGAAAATAAAATTCTCTTTCGGGGGCGTTGCCCTTTGCGCAACAACAAACACCAGTCGAAGTGGCAAATCATTCGCAAAACAAAAAAATAAATACATGCAAAATGATGAAAAATATCTAACAATTTCTTCCCAAACAGCAGCGAAGCCTTCATTTTTGACCCCACAGTCTGAAGTCTATGGGTCCACCCTTGGCACCATCTCGTGTTTTTTCGGCAATCTATAGTTGGTAGGAGGTGGATAGTAGTCGACGACTGTCATCGGACCACTGTTCATTGAAGTTCGTATCTTCGGTGGTCGCATCCCTTCTCTTCCGCATTGGTTGAGTTTCTCGGCCTTCGTCTTTGTCTCTATCTTTGTCTTGCGTCGCGCCTCCCGGTTTGCTCCGCCTAGTGGTGTTTAGTCATAGTTTCCTTCTTAGTTCAGTTGTTGATTCTTGGTCGAGGGAGGTTTTTGGCATCTCGGTGTTGGGTTGGGGACTTCACATCTCCAGTTGAATTCTTCTTTGTATTAACTTGGTTTCTTCTCTTTCTCCTGGACTGGGACGTGAATTGTGGTGGTGTTGGGCTATTGGGCTTGATTCATTATTAGTTAAGCTGAATTATTTGAATAGTGTTGGTCGATTGTATTTGGGCTACTCTTTTAATTAAGCCCCCGTTTGAGCTCCATTATTTCTCATTACATTAAATCAAAATTTTCTCTCTCCTACTTTTAACCACACAATCTTCAATAAAATAATATTACACGTAAATCAAAAGTTTTTCAACAACTCATTTTAAAAAAAACACTATTCATCTCATTATAATCTACAAATAATGGGGCTCAAATGGGGGCTAATTATTAGTTCCATCATGTCAACCGATAAGAATTGAGTCTGTTTGTATTCGCTTTTTTGGAAAAAATTACTCTTCATGGGCTTTTCACTTTCAATTGTTGGTTGAAGGCAAAGGCGATCTTTGGGGATATATTGATGGAGATCTTCCTTCTCCTGATCAAGAGAAGGATAAAGAAAAGTATATTGCTTGAAAAACCAAAGATTCTCAACTTATGGCCTGGATCATTGAATCAGTTGATGAGTAGATTGTCCTTAATCTCAGACCTTACAAGTCAGTCCGTGCTATGTGGGAGTTCTTGAAGAAAGTCTATACTCAAAGTAATAATGCTTGGCGACTTCAGTTGGAGTTTGAATTAGCAAATTTCTCTCATGTTCCATTGAAGAATATTATTCAGGATTCTCTAATCTTTGGGCCGAGTACACAAATATTATCTACGCTTTGGTTTCATTAAACAATTTGGAGGCTATCCAAGTTGTACACGAAGTCACCAAGAGAGATCAATTTCTTATGAAATTATGAACTGAATTTGAATCCACCCGATCTGGTCTTATGAATTGCGAGTCTCTTTCATCACTGGATGGTTGTTTGGGTGAATTACTGAGGGAGGAGCAGTGTCTTATCATTCGCGCTTCTTTGGAACAACAACAGAATAATGTAGCACCGGCTCCCATTGCTTATGTGGCTCAAGGAAAATTCAAGCATCGGGATATGTCTGTTTGCAATGTTATAGTTGTAAGGGATTTGGTTACATAGCTCTTCAGTGTCCTAAAAAAGTTTGCAATTATTGCAAGAAGTCTGACTATGCTATTAAGGAGTGCCCCACTTGTCCTCCACGCAACATTGGAGCAAATTATATTGCTGTTGCAACTTTAGCCTCTAATTCTGCTTTACCACCTACTCCTTTTCAAGTTCCAACATTTCTCAACTCTTCTCAAACTCACATAATTCTTGAGATGATTCAACAAACGATTATCTCTGCTTTGGGTATCTCAGGTAATACACCATCTACTCGTTCTTCTTGGTTATTAGACTCAGGTGCCTCTAACAATATGACTCACGATCCTTTGTTACTTTGTAACCTTAGACCATATATAGGACCTTTCAATGTACACACTGCCGATGGTAACACACTTCCTTTCCTCGCTGTGGGAGATATATCACTTTAACCTCTCCTCATTTATTAACTAATCTTTATCTAATAATTGTATTGTCTCTTTTTCTTCTTCTAATTGTCATGTACAAGATCAGATGTCTGGAAGGACTATCGAAAGGGACCTAAAGTGGGACGTCTGTTTCCTATTTCATAAAAGCCTATTCCATTTTCTTCTTCCGTTTGTAATTCTGCCACTTTAGATATTTTTAAGTGGCATAACAAATTGGGACACCCCAATTCGAATGTGCTACAACACTTGTTAAACTCGGGTTTGCTTGGTAATAAAAATGCTGCTTCAGTTATCTCTCTCGATTGTGCGTCATGTAAACTTGCTAAAAGTAAAGTTCTACCATTCCCATCTCATGATTCTCGTGCTTTACAAATTTTCGATATTATTCGTAGTGATGTATAGGGTGTTGCACCCGTGGTATCCTATGCACATTATAAATACTTTGTTATCTTTATCGATGATTATAATCGATTTACATGGATTTATTTTCTTCGTGCAAAGAGTTATGTCTTCTTTGCTTTTCAAGTCTTTCTTGCTCTCATTGACAATCAATTTTATTCCTCGATCAAAGTCTTAAGATCTGATTCAGGAGGTGAATGAATGTCTAGAGCTTTTCAATCTTTCTTACAACTCAAATGTATTATTTCTCAGCGATCTTACCCTTCTACGCCTCAACAAAACGGCGTGGCAGAACGCAAGAATCGTTATGTTCTTGATATGGTTCGAGCTCTTTTGATTGAGTATTCTGTTCCCTCTCGTTTTTTGTGTGAAGCATTGTATACCGCTGTGCATCTCATAAACCGATTACATTCTCTCACTTTTAGTAATGTTTCTTCATTTTTGAAAATATTTGGTTATCATCCCACATATTCTCATCTCCGTCCCTTTAAGTCTGTATGTTTTGTTCATTTGCAATCACATGAAAGGACAAAACTTACTCTTCAATCTGTCAAGTGTGCCTTTCTGGGATATGGTGGGACTAAAAAATGGTACATCTGTTATGATCCTACATCACAACGAATTCGTATTTTTCATAATATTATTTTTTTTGAAAAATAATCATTCTTCAGTTCAGAAACTGTAGTTTCTCCTCCTGTGTTCTCTATGTTACCTGATTTCCCTGCAGAACCATCTCGGTACAAGCCAGCCTTGTTTACGCTCGTAGGCATGTTGCATCCATCACTAATCTAGATCTTGTTTCTCCGATAATGGTCCTTCCAAGCTTCTCTGATCCTCTACCTACGACTCCTGATCCTGCACATGATGATGTGCCGCCTCCCGTCCCTCTTCGTCTTACTTCTCATGTTTCTCGACCACCCAATAGGTATGGTTTCTCCTTCCGTAGTTCTATGTCCGCTACACTTAATTCGGTTTCTATTCCTTCTTCCCATAGACAAGCTATAGAACATGAATGTTGGTAACAGGCTCGAGGCTCTTCAGGCCAATCAGACCTAGGATATTAAGTGTGAAACCCATTGGAAGTAAATGAGTATATTTCGTTAAACTTCGTTCTGATGATTCTCCTGAGTGTTATAAGGCTCGATTAGTTGTTTTGGGTAATCGTCGGGAGTATGATGAGACATTTGCTCTTGTAGCAAAAATGACCACAGTTCATCTCTTGTTATTGCTTGCCACTTCCCAATCATGGTTTTTACATCAAATGGATGTGAAGAACGCATTCCTACATGTACACCTCAAGGAGGATATTTATATGAAACTTCCATCTGGTATGCCTCTTCCCTTAATTGACTCTAGATATTGGCTAAAATGCTTTTTGTATGATCTTAAGTAGGCTCATTGGGCATGGTTGACAAATTTCGTTGTACTCTTTTGGATTTCTTATTTACCCGAAGTCAGTATGAGGCATCTCTGTTTTTCACAAGAGTATTGTTGGCATTGTCTTTTTATTGGTAGATGTGGATGATATTATTATCTCTGGATTTGATCACAGTCTTATCCAGAAACTTCAGCAGCATCTTCACTCGATTTTTCACATGAAAGACCTTGTTCAACTTACTTTCTTGGTTTAGAGGTACATACCACATCAGATGGTATCTTCTTGAATCAACATGAGTATATTTGAAGCCTCCTCAGTTGATACGCTGTTGGAGCATAATGCCAAATATCGAGAAGATGGAGGAGATTTTCTTCCAGATTCTACTCTTTATTGGAAGTTTGTAGGTAGTCTCATCCATCTCACCATCACACGTCCGGATATTTCCTTTGCGGTTCATACTATAAGCAAGTTTATGGACGCTCCTCATCATCTTCATTTGGTAGCCGTTCGTCGCATTATTTGCTATCTTATTGAAACTCCTCATCGTGATCTTTTCTTCCCTGGGGGGTCATCTCTTGAGCTCACAGCTTATAGTGATGCTGATTGTGCTGGTTGTCCTGATTCCCGTCGATCTGCTATTGGATGGTATATTTTTTTTTGGTGATGCTCTCATTTCTTGGAAATGTAATAAACAAGAATGTGTTTCTAAGTCTTCCACTGAGGCTGAATACCGAGCTATATCTGCCGCATGTTTTGAGGTTACGTGGTTGCATGGTCTTTTGGCAGAACTTGGTATCTCTCAATCATAGTTTACACCCTTTCATGGTAACAACATTAGTGCTATTTAGATTGCGGCCAATCCTGTGTAACATGAACGCAGCATATAGAAGTCGATTGTCATTACATCCGGAATGCCTATGATTCCAAAGTCATATCTCTTCCCCATGTTTCCACTTCACAACAGGGTACACATATCTTCACCAAATTGTTAACTCGCCTCCTTCATAACTTTCTCGTGAGTAAATTGATGCTTGTGGACTCCCCAACATCAATCGGGTCCGGGGGGGTGGGGGTGTCATTAGAGTATATTTCCATGTATAGGTTAATAAATCACAAACAATCAGGATTAATTCCATTGTATAGCTAATTATTTTCTTTCCTTAATAGCTTGTAATATTTTTAAATCAAATGTAATACACACGAGAAGATTCATTCTGCAAAATATTGTCACGTTAATCCCACAATAAAAAAGGACCTAAATATGGAATTTAGTTTTCGACCAGTTCTTGCTTTGGACTTTATTTTATCAAATTTCCTTTCTATGTATTTCAATTAGATGATGTTAAGTAGTTGAGCTTTGCATTCTACCTTCCTAGTTTGTTAAGGACCTCAATTTTTGGCATTCATCCAGTCTGATTTTTGTTACATTCTTCCTCACATGCATTTATATTTCATTATTTCAGGATGAGAATAAATTAGATTGGGATATCAGTAAAAGCCATTTGATCAATGGTCCGTAGATTGTGTAACTATTACTTAACTTCAGCTACAGTCTGTAGGTTGTATAATTGTTAAAAAAACATGTGATTCTACTTCTATAGATTATTAAAATTTTGATCTTTTTTTAATGTTATGGTCTATTTTTGCTTCGGTAAAAAGTTGAAGCTACTGTTTGAACAATAATTTTAGAGTTTTGTTCTGAATTTCTTGGCTTCCCATTGCTTTTCTCCTTTTCCTTTCAATGGAAAACATCATTGCTGGTTGCTACCTAATTGTGAATATTTGTGAAACAGGTGAACAACATTAGTGGCTATCTTCCTGGTCGTATAGTATTTTTCCTGGTACGTCCTATTTCATTGTGTCGTAACACTTACCTACTCGTCTTGCAATATTACATGGCTGTTTCTATAGATATACCATTCTATCATTATCAATGTCAAGTGTGAACAGAAGCACTTTTAACGATGTATAAGGTTCTAACCCAGAAAAGTTCATGTAAGAGACCTTGGTCCACGTAGTACTCTTGAGGAGATTTCCTTTGTCCCAATCTAACTGGTGATAAAAGTGCCAGGGATTACATAAAATTAAAAATGATAAATTTCAACTGTTCCCGATGACCCAGGGTACTGTATATATGTTTTCTTCTCAATGTTGTTGCAATTAGCATATTTGGATCATTAGGTTTCTCTAAACCTGTTTCTTCAAGCTGTATGCTGCTTTCCCATCTATATTTTGAACTTGCGACTTATTATATATGTAAAAGGATCTGGAGGAAAAGGCTTTGCTCTATAACATTCCTCTCTTATGATCTAAGTATTATTTTTTCTCTTCATCCGGCTATTTATTCATTTATTTTTTATTTTGCCCCTATTTGGGCCCCATCCTTTAAAAAACAATTTTCTTCAAATTCATTTTCAACCATATATTCTCCCAATAAATAATTTTGCATGTAAATTCAATTTTTTTTTTCTATTTTTTAACTGCACGTTCTCTAAAAAAAAAAAATCACTTTTTGATAATCTATTCTCAAAAAACGCCCCCCCCCCCCCCCCCCCCATTCTCAAAAAACCCCCCCCCCCCCTCCCCCTCCTTTTGCACTGCTTTAAATATATTACATAAAGATATGACTTCAGATTGTGTTTCTTTCCATTTTGCAGGTGAATACACATCTGACGCCAAGACCAATTCTGCTTACTAGGCATGGAGAGAGCCGTGACAATGTTAGAGGCAGAATTGGTGGTGACAGTGTGTTGAGGTTCTTTTTTATTTTATCATGTTAAATTTTCTACTAAATTTGGGTAGAATATTTGAGTCTCTGATTTAATATCCATAATTCTTTCGTTGAAAATAAAGATTCATCTTTGGTAAATTTATTCTCATTCAGCCAATGCAAAAATCCAAGAGCTGCAAACAGAATTTCAAGGTTAAGGACCCATGTTAATGCCATTAAGGGGTGGTGGGATGTCAATATATCTCAACAACCCTTCATCATACTTTTAGATGTCCTGGAATTCCACTAGCACGAAACTGCAAAAAATTTGACTAGCTATTGACTAATAATTTTTTGTTGTATTTATTTTGAGTTGACAATTTCTGTGATATAAACTCATTTCCTTCACTATTACCTAATCTAAAGTGCTAATACCCTTTGACAGTGATACTGGAGAGCTTTATGCAAAGAAACTTGCTAATTTTGTTGAAAAGCGTCTGAAAAACGAAAGGGCTGCTTCTGTAAGTTTCACCAATTTAAAAAATTTGAGTTCAAAGATAGAATTAGATGTGTGACAAAATCTTCTATACAGTTCTTCTGAATTTTAAGTTCAGAAATTTTATTTGCCCTGTCGTACAGTGTTGATTGGATAGTCTGTCTGTTGTTATATTAAAAAAATAAAAAAATAAAAAAATAAAAAAAAAAATCTAATGAAGTATTCGCTGAGAAAACATCTTAACCTCATAGATGGCCTTATTCGATTTGGCTAGCTGGAAATCACAAATTTATGGTTAACTTGTTAATAGTCTCTTAGATCTGATCCATTTGTTGCTAAAATAGTGCATTTTTATGTATTTTTGGCTTAGATATAGATCATGTCAATTTCTTTATCTGTAATGTTGGCACTGATGATGTTTGAAAATGTAGAGTTCTCTCTTTTAAAGGCTTCAAGGATAGAGGGTGTGGGCAAGATTAAAGGTTTTTTTTTTGATAGGTGGGTCAAGATTATAAATTAGGGGCCGTATTTCAGTTTCCCTAATATTAACCTTATCTGTTCTGCAAGATTTTTTCTTTCTTGAAATAAGCCAATCGTTTATTCTGCTTGAATTCATGTCTGGGTGGATATAAGGTCATGTCACCAGTCACCACCGTATCATGGTTTATGAGATTATATGCCTATTGTTCACCTCTAGAAGGCAAGGTGTTAATTAGCATCAATATCACTGCTGAAAATATAGAATGGTTCTAAATTAATTCTTCTTTAATAAATATTGCTGGTCATTGTACGCTAGTCTTTAATTCAAACATCCATTTGATGAATAAAAAATTTGTCTCAATGTGTTCTCTGATATTGAATTGTAGCATTTTTTTTCTGTAAAAAATTATAATTCCTTGAACATCCACTGGAGCTAACATCGCATAAAATTACCAGATTAAGTTCATTGTTTTTGACATCATGTTTCTCCTATGTCTTAGATATGGACCAGCACGTTGCAGAGATCAATTATAACTGCTAGCCCAATAGTTGGATTCCCGAAGGTAGGTTGTGTTAACTGCTATACGTGATTAAAACATAAATTACAGTATTCAGTAGTGATTCTCCCACCATTGTTTTAGTTGACTACTGAATCTATTTGTAATTCCATCTTCACTTGTAGATACAATGGCGTGCACTGGATGAGATTAATGCTGGTGCATGTGATGGGATGAATTATGAAGAAATAAAGAGAAATATGCCCGAGGAATATCAGTATGCTTCAGTTCTTTGAACTTTATTTTATCCTTTTAGTATATTTGTGCATAGATGAAGCATAGTATTATCTGACTTGAAAGTGCGATATTCGTGATGGATGTTTGACCCATTGATTATTTTGATCACTGTTTCATTGTCAATCAAATAAGACCTACATCTTCTCACATTTAAATTATTTTTGTTTAAGATTCATTTTTCTCTATCATGTTATCATGATAAATTTTGAGATTTGTAGAACATGATCCTCAATTCAATTTAATATACTATTGTGACAGAAGATCCAAACATTGATTACATCTCGAATCTAGCTTGAAGGCTTGTAAACACATGTTTTCTTCTGTTAATTGCCTTAAGATACACTCTTCTGTACATGACTATATTTACAAGTGAATTAAGAAACAAGGAAGGAAACCAATCTCCTAAATAAGGGATAAATAATTATCCTACTTAACTATAGAAATAATCAAATATGCAATCTCAATCAAATCCCAAATTTTCTCCATTAATCCGATTTTCTATACTCCCCCTCAAGTTGGATGGTAAATGTTGACTATATCCAACTTGCAAATGAAGTTATCGAAAATCTGTCGAGATAGTTATTTGGTGAAGATATCTGCCGTTTGTCCTTTTGTAGGGACATATGTCATACAAATCACCCATTCTTCCACCTTTTCTTTGATAAAGTGTCTGTTCATTTCTACATGCTTGGTTCTATCGTGTTGTACTGGATTCAGAGAGATGCTGATAGCTGCCTTACTGTCACAGTATAGTTTGACTGGAAATTTCATGGCAACTTGCAGTTTTTTCAAGAGTTTCTTTAACCACAGTCTTTCACAGATTCCTTGTGCAACTGCTCTAAATTCGGCTTCTGCACTGTTTCGAGCCACTACATTTTGTTTCTTGCTTCTCAAAGTTACCAAATTGCCCCATACATAGGTATAATAGCTAGTTGTTGATCTTCTATCTTCTGTAAAACCAGCCCAATCTACATCTGTGTAGACTTCTATTTCTTTTTTTTCATTTTTCTTGAAGTATAATCCTCTTCCTGAAGAACTTTTTAGATATCTGAGAATTCTATATACTACTATTAGATGAGTTTCCTTAGGTGAATACATATGTTGGCTAACAACACTAACTGCAAATGCAATATCTAGTCTACTGTGAGATAGGTAGATTAACTTCCCAACTAGTCGCTGATATCTATCTTTTTCAACCGGTTCTCCAGTATTCTCTTTCTTCCTGACTCGATTGATGTCTCACTTGGTTTACATTCAAGCATGCCAGTTTCTGATTAGATCATGAATGTATTTTCGTTGTGAAACATTGATGCCCTTTCTTGTCCTTGCTACCTCCATTCCCAAGAAATACCGCATCTGTCCCAGATCTTTTACCTCAAACTCAGTTGCCAGGTATTTGTTTAGTCTATCCATCTCAATTATGTTATCTCCAGTTAGGATTATATCGTCAACATACACAATCAAAATTGTTTTTCTTCCACTCTCTAGTTGTTGGAAGAACATAGTATGATCTGATCGTCCTTGCTGATAACCCTGCCTTTTTAATACCTTGGCAAATTGATCGAACCAAGCTCTTGGTGACTCTTTGAGACCATATAGATATTTTTTCAATTTACAAACTTTATTTTCGTCCTGTAAGTAGAAGCTTGGAGGTAGTGTCATGAAGATCTCTTCTTCCAATTCTCCATTCAAAAATGCGTTCTTTATGTCAAGTTGCTGAAATTGGCAATCCAAATTGGCTGCTATAGATAGGAGGACACGTATCGTATTTAGCTTGGCCACTGGTGCAAATGTTTCTATGTAGTTTATACCGTAGATTTGTGTGTATCATTTCGCCACCAGACGAGCTTTGTATCTTTCTTACTTATATTTCACATTAAAGACCCATTTGCACTCTACGGGTCTTTTTCCTTTTGGTAGGTCCATCACATCCCAAGTTTCATTTTTCTGAAGGGCTTGCATTTCTTCCATCACCGCATTTCTCCAATGTGGAATATCCACGGCTTCCTCAACATTTCTTGGAATTGCTGTAATGTCAAGGTTAGATGTAAAAGTACGAAATTTAGTAGATAAAGCATTATATGAAATGAATTTTGAGATGGGATGAAGGGTACATGATCGGGGTTGTTTTTTGAGTGCGATGGGTAGATTGATATCAAGTGATTTGGACTCATCAAGATGTGGAGCTATCATCAGTTCAAACTCTCTTGGTGCTTCAAGTACGAGGTTATCTTTTGGCTTTGGCCTCCTAGAGTAAACTAATACCTCCTTTTCCTTTTGTTTTTTTGCATCTCCCCCTGAGTTCAAGTGTTCTACATGTGGCATGTTGATATTTGATAGTGTGGTAGGATATGAATTTGTGTTGGAGGTATGTTCAGAAGGGGAGAGATCAAAATCTATGAACCGATCTTCACTCAAATTCTCCCCCTGAAGGGAGGGCTTCTGGAAATAGGTAAATTTTTCGAAGAATGTGACATCAAGACTGACGAATACCTTTTTTGTAGATGGATCATAGCATTTGTAGCCCTTTTGAGTAGTTGAATATCCAATGAATACACATTTAATCGCACGAGGGTCAAGTTTATTTCGATTGTGGGAATGAATATGGACAAATGCAGTACAACCAAATACTCTGAAGGGTAGATTAGAATATAGAGTACAACCAAATACTCTAAAGGGTAGATTAGAATATAGACTTAAGGTAGGAAAGATTTTATGGAATTTGTCGAGAGGTGATTCAAAGTCGTGTGCCGCTAGGCATTCTGTTGATAAGATAGGTAGTGGTTAAGATGGCGTCTCCACGTGGTTTTTTGGCATATTGGCAGTGAGCATTAAGGCACGAGCAACTTCAAGTAGATGTCTATTTTTTTGTTTAGCAATCCCATTTTGTTGGGGAGTGTCGATACAAGAACTCTGGTGTACTATTCCATGTTTTTGTAAATAGTCACGTAAGATGGAATTGAAGTATTCAGTGCCATTATCTGTGCGAAGAATTTGAATTTGGGTTTGGAATTGTGTTTGAATTATCGAGTGAAAGTCGATAAATATTGAGCGCACATCAATTTTTTCTCTTAGCATGTAAGTCCAACAAACCCGAGCATGGTTATCAATGAATGTAACGAACCACTTTGTATGGGTGCGATTAGGGATTCGTGAAGGTCCCCATAAATTGCTGTGAATTATAGAGAATGGTTTAGATGGTTTGTACACGGATTTCGAGAAAGTATTACGTTGGTGTTTTGCTAGTTCACAAATTTCACATTGAAAATCAAATGAAGTTTTATTCGAAAAGATAGACGGAAGCACGTTTAAGATATTGAATATTGGGATGACCCATTCTGTAATGCCACAATAAGATTTCACTATCCCTAGAGACATGCAGAATCAAAATTGCAATTTGGCTTGGCTTACTCATATCTGCCTCCTCAAAGACCCTCATACTCTTTGACACTGTTAATCGTCTTTTTCGATTATAGGTCCTAAAAGATACAAGAAGAAGGGAAAAATTTAGCTGAGCAATTTGAGGTTTTTGTTAAATGACAGCGAGTTTCAAGTTAATTTTGGAACATGAAGTACTGAATTTAGTGTTATAGATTCAAATAATTGGATACTTCCTTTTCCTACCACAGTTGAGAGTGACCCATCCGCAATTTTAACCTTAATATTGCCGGTACAAGTTGTGTATGATGAGAAAAGTTGGTGGGCTCCAGTCATGTGATCCGACGCTCCTGAATCAATAATCCAAGGAATTTTGTATTTCAAGGACGTAGTCAAGGCACTTGAGTGATTACCTTTGTGAGCTAGTGAGCTTGAAGGGTCGTGTGTGGAAGGTTGACCTGAAGTTTGAAGACTGGAAAAGATTTGATAAAGTTGTTCCAATTGTTCAGGATTAAATGCTCGCCCTGTAGTGGAATTATCTTTAAAATTTTCCGTATGATCAATTGCTGCTTGATAGCCTCGATTCCTGGTATTTCGCCTTGGCTTCCGATCAGTAGGTTTCCTGTGTAAATCCCAGCATGTATCTTCCTTGTGTCTTAGTTTACTACAGTGTTCACACCAAGGCCTCCCCCTTTGTTGTTTTGATCTAATTGAAACCGACCCATTTAATCCAGGCCCAATAGAGTCATTTGGCCCATTATATGGTTTTTTAGCCCATCCACCTTTAGTAATAAAATTAGGCCCATTCGGCCCAGTCACTGCCAACGGCCCATTAATCGCTTTCCCATTTCTTTTGAACCCAGGTCCATTCCGTTTCAGCAGCAACGCCGATTCTACTGCACTGTCATCTTCGCCAGTCTTCATGATAATTTTCCGGCGATTTTCCTCCCTTCGGACTTCTGCAAAGACCTCTCTCGTGGTTGGCAGTGGTCGTCGGCTCAAGATTCACCCCCAACATCATCCAGGTCTCGGTTAAGGCTTGCAAGAAATTCAAAAACCCGTTCGTTTTCAACCCTTTTCCGGTACCGTACACTATCGCTTGGAGATTCCTATTCTTCCTCGAGGCAGAGGTCCAGTTCTTGCCACATATTCGTCATTTCCAAGTAGTAGTTAGTGACTTCTCTTTCCCCTTGTTTGGTTTGCCATAACCGGGTCTTCAATTCGAAGATTAGTGAGGCGTTTACTCCATCATAGTATGTGTCCTTAGCTGCATCCCAAACTTCTTTCGCAGTCGGCGGAAACAGATAAGTTTTACCTATTGCTGGAGTCATAGAGTTAACTAGCCAGGCTGTTATCATTGAATTCTGAGACTTCCACTTCTGAAGAAGTGCCACATCCGTTGGTTTCTTGGTATCTCTAGTGAGATACCCCAATTTCCCTTTGCCTTCGATAATTAGTTTGATGGATTGGGCCCATTCTCGGAAATTTCCTCCGTTCAGATTTTTTGACGGTGAGTTGAAAGGAAGAATTTTCGACGTTATTGGATCCCATGGATGAGATGACCTCTGTTTCGCTTTGGAGAGTTTCTGAGGTTGTAGATTCCTTACTGTTTGTAGGAATTTCTGACATGGATTGCTAGGTTAATAGGGGTCTAGCTCTGATACCATGAAGGCTTGTAAAAAACACGTTTTCGTCTGTTTATTGCCTTAAGATACACTCTTCTGTACATGACTTTATATACAAGTGAATTAAGAAACAAGGAAGGAAACCAATCTCCTAAATAAGGGAAAAATAATTATCCTACTTAACTATAGAAATAATCAAATATGCAATCTCAATCAAATCCCTAATTTTCTCCATTAATCTGATTTTCTACATAGCTGTTACATACTGATTCCAGCAGAACTATCGTTGAACTGTGAACTCACTCTGTGAATCGGAAAAGTTTCCTGTGTTGTGTCCATCGTTGTAATCGTTAAAATCCTAGATAAATCCGATTATTATTCCTGGAATTGAAAGTACATTCTTCCTTGAGTCAACTTCGGCACGTGAAATGTTCATGACTGCCTTATAAATCTTGTTGGTTAAATAAGATATCAAATCTTTTGGGCTAAATGCTTTGGTGTCTTATCTAAGTTCTGTTTACTTATTTGCTGTTGAGTTCTGGATCGTTTTTAGATTTGATGGCAACAGAAGCATGAGAAAAGTATCCTTCGAGGTAGACATTTGTTGTGTTAGGGAAGGCCTTTTAATGGGGCTTAATTGAGCAGTCCTAGTATCCTCGAAAGAACAATAAAAGCCAAAGGCTTAATTTCTTAATATCAAAGTCTAAAACAGGGATCTAGACATCATAGGACATTAACCTGGCCAATGGAAAGAGAGAAAATGAGACACAACTAAATTAGGAAACTAAATGTTGATAGATCCTTAATATATTGGAAACTGAGTTGCTTCAATTGATATAATTTGATCTAATTAGCAAGCAATATGATTTGTTAATACTATGTTTCTGTTATCACGTCTTTTTTGTCATGTTCAAATCCTGTTTAATAAAATAAAAATTTGTCATTGTTATTAGTTAGTTAATTGATCCTCTCCTCATAGTTATGCACTGTTGATGTGTAAGCTTTTATTCTTGAGCATACATACTGAGTTTTTCAAACTGTATTCTTGTCAATTCTACTCTATGTTTCTTTCTTTCTTTCTTTCTTTTTTCAATTTTTTATGTGGGGCAGGTGTATTTCTTGAAGTCACTTGTTCTTGAGGTTTATTGTGTTCTATATATCACAGGTCCAGGAACAAGGATAAATTAAGATATAGATATCCTCGTGGGGAATCTTATCTAGATGTTATACAAAGGTTTGCAATAAAATGCTTTGCTAATTCTTGGAAAGATTCAGTTTATCTGTTTATTATGCTTGGGTAATGTTATTTGCCTTTGGGCCTCTTTCAGGTTGGAACCTGTGATTATTGAACTTGAACGACAAAGAGCTCCGGTTGTGGTGGTATCTCACCAGGTTTCACTTCTCATCATGAAACTGAAGTCTCATCCCAAAATGGCGTTGTATTTCAGAGTGCTAAAATGTTGTTATTATGGTCTGTCTTGCAGGCAGTACTGAGAGCTTTATATGCATATTTTGCTGACAGGCCATTGCAAGAAATACCCCACATAGAGGTAATTTGAGCATGATGGTTGATAATGTAAGATGATTATTTGCCTGTAGTTTTACGCATGAAATGGAACTGACAAATTCTCACTCAATGTCTTTCACATCTAACCAGAAGAATTATCTGTGGTTGCAACATATATAGCACATACATGCTTTAATGATATAGTATTTAATTTTCTTTTATCACAACAATCTTTACCCTTCACAATCAGTGAATAGGAATTTTAATTAATGCTTAAGATGCTAAGAAGCTACGAATTTTGGTTTGGCAATTTGCAGATGCCGCTTCATACAATCATAGAGATACAAATGGGAGTCAGTGGTGTCCAGGAGAAAAGATATAAGCTCATGGATTAAATTTGACTGAGAAAGTTGCTTATATGGAAATTCTACACATGGTACAGTAGCAAGGTCTCCATATTCTTGAATGTATATTTCATTATAGGATCTAATCTTAACAGGGTTATGTGACAACAATTTAGTAGTCTCGACTACAAATTTGGCTGTGCTCTCTCTTTCTCAGAGAGAGAGAGAGAGAGAGAGAGTCACGCACTCAGGAACCTGTGCATATGTACGTGCAAATCCCTTCAAAAATAAGTTGGTGACTTCATCATGTATTACCCTGAATCTCGAGATTTTGTTGTCTTCTTTGATTGTAATATTTCGTTATACAACATTCTAACTTCCAAGCATAGAGGAACTGTAAATTGAACATTCGCCTGTTGTTGATAATTGCATTCATCAGGTTATACATTTGCTCTGCTTGATGAAGGAAGTTGATCATGTAACAATTACCTGTTCGATTATTTTGTGTTGTACTTATTGGGGTTATTGTAGATGCAGGATATAGTTTGACTTAAGTTGGCCTTGCAGGCTGTCTGAAACAAGTCAGATACTGGTAAATTCTGACTTGGTTTTCTTTTATGCTTAATCTTTAAGGTGTTTAGAGCAATGTGGATGGGTTCTAGCGCAATATTTACTACATTTAGTCCCTGTTTGTTTCTCATTTTTTTCTCATTAAAATGAAAAATATAACTGTTATTCATCACATCAAGCCCCTATACTTGAATTTCTATTTCTTGTGTGAGGCCCGTAACGGCTATATTTTTCATTCCAATTTTGACATAAATGGGAAACAAACGGGGCCTTAATATCTTGGAAGGAAACTGCCTAGTTTCATGGTAATCCACAAAGCGAAGTAGAGGGATGCTAAAGTTGAAAAATCTCAATTGTCCCGAACGCTTGCTACTACTAACCAGCCCATTATGCATATGATTCAACATGCCAACTATTAAAGAACTTATTAGAAATAAATTGGTGTTATCTATTAAAAATTGTGGTAGGGCAGTTTATGAATGTCTTCGTGGTGTACTTGATTTTACCAAAGATGATGAAAACTTGAACTCTCAGGCATTTATGTGTTGGAGAGATTGTTTCTTATTTTGTGTCGAAGCAATTTATAAATCACAAGTTGAAATGGGTGAAATCAAAGGGCATTACTTGAATGTTGTTGGTATATGCGAAGGATTGATCAAAAGAGACACAAATGGGGAAAATTTCTCTCTTGCTTATTTCTATGCCTATGAGTTCAAACTAAAGCTCTTATTTTTTGTTGTGTAATAGTATGAAATAATGGACGGTATAAATTTAACAATACTTTTTCTCCAAGATCTGTTGCAGGAATGGGATATTTCGAATGAGTCTTGAATGAGCCTCTCGAAAGCTTGATACAACTAAACTAAGCCCGACCCATAAATGGCACAGTTTGGCGGGTGTGGGTGAATGTAGTAGGAAGTGGACCGTGGTTCGTAGGGCATTTTGTTTTTCTTAATTTATATCTTCGTTCTTTTTCTTTTGCATTTATATTTGTAATTAAAAATAAAGGTATAATCATCTTTTTGGTCAATTTTAATTTTTTACTATGATATTAAGGAGTGTATTTCACTCATACTTTAGACATCATTTAAGCTTAATATTTAGTTAATTCTTATGAGTTTTAGAGCGTTTTAATGTTTGTTTTGATGATGTGATATAGATTAATGAAATTGAAAGAAATGAACAAAACTTGGCAAAATAAAAAAGGGGGTCGAATTGTAAGAGATTCAAAGTTTGAAGACTAAAGTTCAAATATTGAAAAGTTGTGTCGAACCTCAAAATGAATATTCGAGAGTGTTGGATGAAAAAAAGGTCGAAGGGATGAAATATAGTCAAACATCGAATTTTTAATCTCACATTGAGATTCATTTTTGACATAGCAAAAATTCGAATTGGAAATAACATCAGAAGCAAAGTTGTATTTTGAGTTAACTTTTTAACACGCTTTGAATTGCCTCAATTGGATATCGAGAAAAAAATTATGATAAGAATACTGAAAGCTGTACATTGCAATCGAACCTATCGCGATTGCCCAGATGCTTTCCCTCACTACCTAGGTGTCAGATTGCTGATTTTTTTTTCGCAAGTACAAATTCAATCCAACTCTTAGGACTTTAAAAAGGCATAAATACCAATCTAGGCAACTTTTCAAATACAATTCAACCGGGTAAGAAAAAGGCAAGAAGCAAGCAATCATCAAGAAATCAAGGACAACATCGTAAAGGAGATTGAAGATCTACCAAAACTAGTTTTTCTATTCTCCTCTATGTTGTTTATTTGAATTTGATTATTTTTATGGTTTCTGCCATGAATTAAATATCTGGTCTAAGAGTTTGATGTAACAAAACTTGCGGATGGGATTTGATTTGGTTTTGGTTATTTCTATGAAATTTTCATTTCCATTTGTTTGTATTATTGGTTTAATGATTTTAATTAATTAATCACTAATTGAATGATTAGATGATAGTCAATTTCGGCACTTGAGAGAGAGAAATTATGCATGATCATAACAATAATACAACTTAAATTTTATGGATTTCAAGAGAAAGTATAGAATCTATGAAACTTGTCGTATTTAAGAACCATGATCTTGATGAATCTTGATTTTAATTCGGAATAGAAAATTGGAATTAATTTCTAGGATTAATTTTTACTCGGCATTCGAGAGATGGAGTATAATTACATTAGGGTTCTTGCTTATAATATGGAAAATTGATTAGAGATAACTAGGTCTTTTTAGAATCATATTTGATAATTACGTGAAATCATAACGTAGGCTTTCTCATCTTGATTATTCTACTAAATAGCATTAATATAGTTGAATTTGTCACCATATTTATAATTACATTAGTTCCAAACCATCGACCTTATAATTCAATTTTCTAGATAAAATAAGAGCTATTCAATTATAGTATTTACTATAAAATTAAATTACAATCCCTGTGGATTCGACATTCTAACTCCATTATTATATTATAAAAATTGACTCCGTACATTTGCGGTTTACATCACGTTATAGAAAAAGCGTAACAGACGTGCACCAAAGTACTGAGGATAAATGTTCTATAAAATTGAAATGTAGGGGTGTAAATGTTAGAAAAAGCTAAGGGTTTATTTGCACAAAATTAATGGATTTGGGACTGTAAACTTTTAGGTGCAATTACAGGCTGTGGTAGAAGTTTGTGTTATGCTAATTTGTGGCTAGTAATATTATGTAGCATTACTAATTATTAAATACTAGTTTACGTGGAAGTGAGATCTATTGTCTTATTGTAAGTTGTAATGTACTTTGATTTATTGAACAATGTAGTGAAATTCACTTGTCATCTAGATCATGCTAAGTACCAATAGTGCAACTTTATTCGTTTGTGTACACTACCACAAAAGATGGACTAAAGTAAGAGTAATGTTATGTAGCACAAGTGATATTTAGTGTCGATTTACATCACATTAAATGATACGTCTAATTAAAAAGAGCTTCAATTTGATGCTAACATGTCATCAAATGACGTTATTATTAAGTCAGAAAAAAGTCATTGTTAAATAAAAAAGTGTGGGTTCAGCAAGCAATCTAAGTCCAAAATTCTAATTAAACTAAAGTTACATTACGTTTTCACATTTGAAATTCATTTAATCAAATTCCTCTGTTTTTCAAACTTGGCGTAATCAATAGCATCATCTTGTGGCATGTTGAAACTTAACAGCATCAGATAAGATTTCATATTATTTTTCATCACTTTCTTATACATGGTTGCATTTACATCACTTTCTTAAACTCTCTAATAAAAACCTCGAACTTAAAGAAATATGAGGGCAAGAAATTTAGTTAGTTACTTTCTACTTTCGCACTTATAAAACGATCTTAACAGTGTTCTAAAATGTACACTTGCAATATTCGATGCCCGTTTTAGCTAATTTATTTGCCGATGTGATTTTAAGTTTGTTGATGTCATTATCTATCTATCTACAATATATTAAAAGTGGGAATGGTGGAGAAACTTTTAAATAGCAAATTTACCCCTACATATTTAACTATATGTCCACTATATGGAGAAACTTTTAAATAGCAAATTTACCCCTACATATTTAACTATATGTCCACTATATGGAGAAACTTTTAAATAGCAAATTTACCCCTACATATTTAACTATATGTCCACTATATGGAGAAACTTTTAAATAGCAAATTTACCCCTACATATTTAACTATATGTCCACTATATGGAGAAACTTTTAAATAGCAAATTTACCCCTACATATTTAACTATATGTCCACTATACCTTCATAATTGGAATGCCAATTTCATTAGTATTTATCATTTGATTTATAATTAATATAATGTAAAGAGCGAAATATTTAATTGATATTTATCTAGAGGCGGATTTAGTCATGAGTTTGCTTGGGCTATAAATTCAATTTTTCCTTAGGAATTTCTTTATGTGATTTTTTATTGAGGAAATTTCACAAAATGTCCATTTTTACCTAGTCATTTGCAAAATGTCTAATTTGGACCAAAATACCCTTATCAACAATTTATAATTCTACACTAAAACAAAAAAAATGGATATTTTTGCAATATTGTTATTGGCCAATAAAATTTTGACACATAGCCTGCCATATTTATTTCAAAAAGTATACATGTCAAATCACAACAAATGCAATATTTTTCATTGATTCAGAAATGTCGAGAACGACATTTTTAAATGTAGAGAAATGTCATGTTCAAAATGAAATGTCATTCTAGACAAATGAAATAGTGTTCAAATGTCGAGAATGACATGAAATGTCGAGAAACGTTATTTTAATATAGCTTCTCATAGAACCCACTTCTCAAAATTCGTGACAAATTGATAAAAAAATCAAACATCGAGAATACCATTTCAAATGTAACTTTTCATTAAGGGCATAATAGACAAGTTGGCACTAAATTCAAATTAGTGAAAAAATTTCAACTCATACACTTAAAATTGGACATTCTTAAAAATGCTTCTTTTTTATTTTTACATGTCAGCCTAGCATTTATAAAAAATTTCTTGCATACTTACAATTTTATGGTTGTACTTGTGCTAGTCTATTAGTTTAAGTTTGTGTCGAGATAAATGTTCTGATATTCATATTTTGAAGATTTAAATAATGTTATATTGAGATTTCATAATACTTTTTTAACTTGGCTAGAAATTATTTTATGTCGTTAAAATTGTGGTTTGAAATCACATTGAACCACAAAAAATGATTTAGTTAGAAAATATTCAAAAATCCTATCCAATCGATCAGTGTTAAACCCTTAATGCACCATAGTTTCTTATAGTTGCATTAAAGATTCATGACTTTTACTCATTGACAATTTTATCGCATTTTATTCTCAAACCTTCATCATTTTGCATATTTTTCATAATGATAATTTTCGTCAAAAAATTAACGAAATATTTGGAATAATTAATAGAAGGTTAGACCATCTCCAACCCCACATAGGGTTGGCAATGGGCCGAGCCGGCTTAATGCCACGAGCTCGGCTCGTGGCGAGCAGAACGAGCCACGCTCGGGCTCGACTCCTTGAAATTGGGCGAGCTCGTGGACCGAGCCGAGTTTCGGCTCGTGGGCTCGTCTATTTGTTTTTTTTTTAAATAAAGAACAGAGTTTTAAAAATAAAAAGTGTTAAAAAATACAAATAATTTAACGAAAACAAGTTTTTATTTTTTTTATTTATATCATATTGTAATTTATAATATTTTTTATAAAGTATAAAATATTTATATAATGAAAAAGAATTATTTTTTTAAATACATTTACAAAAAAATATATTTTTTTGATTTCTTTTTAAAGTTAATAAAGAATAAAGTTTTAAAAATAAAAAGTGTTAAAAAATATAAATAATTTAACGAAAAACAAGTTTTTATTTTTTTTATTTATATCATATTGTAATTTGTAATACTTTTTATAAAGTATAAAATATTTATATAATGAAAA